TTTTGAAATCCTAGGCTCAAATGATTCTTTTACCTCAGCCTCCTGAGTGCTAGAATTACAGGTATGCAGCACAGTATCCAGCTCCACATGTCTGCTTCTGTAGCAGTCCTCTGGAGTGGATGCTTTAGCTCTAAGGCTACCTAGGAAGGAGAAGAGAGGAGGCACCTCTGCCAGGAAGTAAGCACAGGACCTTGTTTGTGCATGTTAAGCATGTGTTCTTTAACTGAACACTGAAACTTTACTTCCTTAATTCCATATGATTTATTTAGGAGAGACAAAAGGATTTCTGACCCCAAAGCAAGATGGATACTACTGCTTCACCTCAAAGGAAAGGTTGTCATCAGACTCCTCAAACTTCAGCAGAAAGTACTCTGAGCCATATCAAAAGGACTTTAATAATGAAAACTTCAGGCAACCTTGGCAGACAGATGGCAGAGATATTTGGGGCTATTATTTGTTAGTCTGTAAGTATGTCTAGCTAGCTGTATGCTCAGACAAGTAATGCTGGAGGGAGACAGGTGATACTCCTGAGAGATGGTGCTGAATTTTCTGGCTTCTCTGTTAAACATATGGTACTTTCATCTCCAAAATGTTTAGAGGTTGCATTCAAGATAAGAGTAAGACATACTCTTATCTTGGGAAATAGGATAGAGGGAGCCCAAAGCTAGACAGATTATAGAAATATACACCCAAAGACATTTCTGTTATTGTTGTGTTTAGAGACAGGATCCCTCAGTGTAGCCCAGCCTGTCCTGGAACTCAAAGAAATCCTTTTGCCTCAGCCTCCCGGTGCTAGGATTATAGATATGAGATATCCCTCCTGGCCTTATAAGACATTTCTTAAAATATATATATATGTGTATGTGTGTGTGTGTGTGTGTGCGCGCGCGCATGTGTTTATGTTATGTATACCTTATATTTATTTTATTTACATGTGTGCCTGTGATAGTGCCAGAGAGTGTCAATGTCGAGGTCACACTCTTGCAGGAGCAGGTTCTTTTCTCTCACCATGTGGATTACAGGGGTCCAGCTCATGTTGCTAAGCTTGTATGTCACATGCTTTTTACCCATTAAGTAATCTCAAGAGCCTAAAAGACATTTCTTGACTACTTTCTGTGTATCTGACTTTGGGGACCAGGGGTAAAGGAGGAGATATACAGCTAGGCATGGTAGCACCTACCTGTAGTCCAGCATTCAGGAAGTGGAAGCAGGAAGATGGCAGGTTCAAGACCAACTTGAGCTATATATGAAACCTTTGCTAAAATGAACAAACAAAAATGAGGAAATGCAGGCTGATCAAATAGTAATTGCCAGTCTCTGTGGCAAACTCTGTTTGGGATGTTCTCAGATGTCTCTTAGAACTGGGTAAATTGGTAAGACATAATGATTCTATTTATGAAAATATGTAAGGATAAACAAATCTATAGGGAGAGAGGTAGGTTTCTAATCACCTAGGCCTATGCAGGGACTCTGGGAATGATAGCTAAAGGAATTAAAATTATTTTATGAGTAGAAAAAAATATTGCAAAATTATAGTCATTGGTTCAAAACACTGAATATATCCAAAACCATTAGGTTAGATGCTTTATTACTGGGGATTGAACCAAGGGTCTAGTCTGTACTGGACACTCTACTACTAAGCTACATTCGAAGTCTGCTCTTATCTTATCTTGAGATCTGGTCTTGCTAAGTTCTCCAAGGTGGCCTCCCCAAGCTCCCTTTATAGTCCAAGCAGTCTTTGAATTTGCAGTGCTTCTGCCTTAGCCCCCTCCCCTCCACCACATAGCTGACATTAGACCCTTACACTATCAAACATAATTTGAATTGTATACTTTATTATTTAATTTTTAAAAATTGGTGTTTTCTTTTGTTGAAAACAGAATCTCATTATGTAGCTCTGGCTATCTTAGAACTATATAGACCAGGCTGTCCTTGAACTCATAGGGATCTACCTGGTTCTGCCTCCCAAGAACTGAGATTAAAAGTATATGCCACCATGCCCAGCTTTTTATATTTAAAAATTTATTATTATTATATGTACATTGGTGTTTGACTGCATGTATGTCTATGTGAGGGTGACAGATCCCCTGGAACAGGAGTTACAGACAGTTGTGAGCTGCCATGTGGGTCCTGGGAGTTGAACCTTTGGAAGAACAGTCAGTGCTCTTAACTGCTCACCTGAGCCCTCTCTCCAGCCCCCACCAGGCCCAGCTTTTAAAAAATATTTTGAGCCAGCAGTAATGGCCTACTACTACCAGAGTTAATCCCAGAGTTAATCTCAGGAGGCAGAGGCAGACACATCTCTGTGAGTTCAAGGCCAGCCTGGTCTACAGTGCAAGTTCCAGGACAGCCAACACTGCATAGAAAATCCCTGTCTTGAAAAAGACAGAAAAAAAAAGTTTTGTTTTAGGACAGAATCTTAAGTAGTCTAGGCTGGCCTCCAACTTACTATGTAGCTGAGGATGATCTTGAACTCCTGATCTTCCTGCCTTAGCCTCCCAAGTGCTGTGATTACAGGCTTGCACCATGTTTAGCAAATTATATACTTTAAGTGGTTGAGCTACATAGTACGTGGATTACTAATAAAGCACTGGGTTTTTTGTTTTTTGGTTTTTGTTTTGTTTAAGAAGGCAGTGAGGTGTGAGGCAAGAGCTCAGTGGTAGAGCACTTGCCTAGTAGACTCTGGGTTCAAGCCTCAGAACTTAAAAAAAAAAAAGACCAGGGGGTGGTGGTGGCACACATCTTTAGTCCCAGCACTCAGGTGGCAGAGGCGGGTGGATCTTTTTTAGTTCAAGACCAGCCTGGTATACAGATTGAGTTCTAGGACAGCTAGGGCTACCCTATTAACACTGTCTTTTGTTTGTTTTTTTGTTTTGTTTTGTTTTGTTTTACTTTTTTCAAGACAGGGTTTCTCTGTGTAGCCTTGGCTGTCCTGGACTCACTTGGTAGACCAGGCTGTCCTCAAACTCACAGAGATCTGCCTGCCTCTGCCTTCCAGAGTGCTGGGATTATAGGCATGTGCTACCACCGCCCAGCTGAGAAATGCTGTCTTAAAAAACAAAACAAAAACACTAAAAGAACTTACAAAACTCTAATGGAAAGGACCAATTAGACTTCTGTGGGTCATCCCCAAACTTGTATGTTGCCAGTTGCTTAGTAGAATCATCAGGGTAATTTGCATACAGCAGGAGTTACAAAGGAAATAAGTAATTTAAGTGAGGTGTAATTAATATATTAGAATGAGAGTATAGGCCAGGCAGGCCTCAAAAATCACTGTGTTGCCCCGGCTGGCTTTGAGTTCACAGCAGTCCTTTTATTATAAGCATTATAAGTATACCCCAGGGAAGGTAAAACCCTTAAAGAAATGTATAATGTCTATGTTGAAGATCTTTAGGAGATTGGCTTGAGCAAGGCTATATAAGCATGAAATAATTATGGACCACAGAAGGGGTGGTACCAGGCTCAGGTATAGGCAAGCCCCACAAATAACTCAGTAAAGCTCCAGGGCAGAGCTAGTAGTTGCAGTAGAAATGAGGATCCAGAGTGTAATAAACTCAAAAGGGCTTTGTGAGCCAGGTTGATTGAGCTGGGCTTTCCTGTAAAGGAAAGAAGGCCTTCAGTGGTAGATTTGAGTTTTAGAAGTCATTCTGTGTGGGGCTTTGCTGGATTAGGTTGAAGCCATTTGTTTGCATTCAGTCTATGATGATGGACTGACTCCCTTTTCTCAGCGAGGTTCTGAAAGTCTCCCCTGATCTGGATGACCCCAGCTTTTGTAAGGAGTGTCACATAGTCCTCAGGGCAGATTACTGGCCAGACCCTTTCCTGAAAAGAAAACTGTTCTATCAAGCATCTGGGAATTCCTAGAAATGCCCCACCCTGATCAGGATCTTAGTCTTCAGCAGTGACCTTCAATTGTACTTGGAGATTTCCCTCACACCCATAGGATAATTAAGTACTATATTTTCCTTGTGGTAAGACCATGCTACTGCATGGAAAATGAGGCACTGTACCACTACATGTAAATCAAGTATCCCTGACCCCAGGGAATCAAACACAGTCACCTCTGAAATCCTTCCCACTGTCCAAGGTTTATAAATCCCTGATTTCAAATAAAGATGCTGCTGGGTTTTCCATGCTTTGTGATACCATCAGTCTTCCACCATGACTGTCTGAGATTCCTCATTTGTCATTCACTGTGCCTGTCCTCCAGCCCACTAGGTCTGGGCCTTACCAGGCCTGTGTCTCAGCTGTAGGCCTACCAGGCATGGGCTTCCACCCACACCTCTGTGATGCTCAGCACAGCAGCTTAACCAAGAGCTGTAACACTTTAATATTGCTGTAGGCTTTGGAACGCCACTGCCATCTGCCACAAGTGATCTCATTCTAAAAGAGCTAACTGTAACACTCCATGGAAAACCCTTTTCCACACCCTGGCTTAGCACATGGGCTTTGCCCTAAAGTGTTCTAGCTGCCCCTGAGAGAAACGGAACCCCTGTTCTCTGACAGCCACAGAGCTCCAGGACCCCGCCAAAAGGAAAACGAAATTCTTCATGGAGAATAGATAGGTCCAAGAAATGCAAAGGGTAGGTTTTGTGCTGTTGAGTTTAAATGCCTTGGATGTTCAAAAGGAAGATTCCACTCTGTACATGGATTCACAGGGGTCTAGAAATGAAATAAAAATTGAATGACTGACATTAGCCTCACCATGTGGATCGAAGTCATGTTTCAAGAGAATAGAACTCAGAGTGATTTAGAGGGATGCCTGAGGAGAAGGAAGAGGTCAGAGAAGTTACCTAGGAACATAGAAGTTACCTGGGAACATAGCTGCTTATTCAGCTGCTCTAAATCAGCATTTGCTATTTGTCCATATGCCTGGAATGTACCATAAGTTCAGAGGCAACTGGGCCTTGAATTTTAGCATCAGCTTTAAAATAATGACTGTCACTACAGGCCATTGAGGAGGAACTAATGTCTTTCCAATATCACCTCATGTTATCCAGGTCCAGAAAAGCCTAGCTCAGCATCTAAGCCAAGAGCCTTCTCTTTGTTCAAGATTTATTTTATGTGTATGAGTATTTTGCCTTCAGGTATGTATGTGCCTATAAATGGTTATGATGCTGCAAAATGAACCCAAGTCCCCTGCAAGAACAGTAAGTGCTCTTCACTGCTGAGCTATCTCTCCAGCCCCCAACAACCATGGGGCATGGGAGGCCTGAATAGTATACTTCTTTCTGAGGGGATGGAGAGAAAGCAGAGAACATCTCATGTGCCTGGTATTCAGCAAACTGTACCCACATATCAGGCTCAGAAACGTACAAGGAAGGCACCCCCGCTTTGTGGGGGAGATGAAGAAGCAGTCCTCTTCCCGTGTGCCAGCCCATCTGCTGCTTTGCCTTGGTAAACATGCTTTTTCTTCTTCTTGGTTCACTGCAGTGTTGAATACATGAGAAAGAAGAGTGTGAAACCAGAAGAAAAGATAAGGTTGGAAGAGGGCAAGCGGAAAGGAGGGGAAGGGAAGGAACCCCCGGAGCCACCAACACAATAAATTGTATCCTAAACCACCTCAGCCTGGCTGCTTTTTTTGTAGCATGCACGTCTGTTTCCTCAGTGCCGAGTTCTGAAGATAATGGACAAGACATGGCTATGACCTAGGTGATCTTAAATGATGACACCCATCAGCATATTATAGACCTTGGAAACCCACTTCCATTTGCTCCCTCTAGGCACAGACTTTCCTTGCCTAGATACCTGTTACTCTTAATAATATCATGAGTCTCCCACCACCTTGGGCAGCAGTCTCCTAACTGTTCTAAACCTGAGTAGGACAGTGTGAAGGACAGCAGGGTAGGAAGTAAAAGAGTTCTGGGGCAGCTAGCTAGCTATGTATGCCTTCTACCACCTATCAGACCAAGACCTGCTCTTGGACTAAGAGACCAGCCAGCTTGACTTCAGGTCATGAATTCAAAGGAGAGGTCAAATGGTTGTCCTGTGGTTGATCACTTTGCTCCAAGCCCAGAAATCTTTAGGGTCCTTCCCTGGTCCCAATCGTTCTTCACCTGGCTTTGCTCAAAGTGCTCTGATTCTACCTCCTATCTACCTGTCGTCACCCTTTCTCACCTAGGGCAGAAGCCTGAGCTCTGGCTTAGGACCCTCCTTGTAGAAACAGAGGAGTCCTAGTCTTAGGAGAGCAAGGATTTTCAGTGACTACCAGAACTGACTTATGACTGAATAATGACATTTTCCCATCCTGTATTTCTTGCCAGGCCCCGTCCTATGAGGTTGTTTTGGCCTGGTCACTACCTTCACTTTCCCCACCACTCTGAGCAGTCCTGCCCTAACAGTGGGCCTTTTCTGTGGCTTCAGGCCTGCAGGGATTCTACTGGTGGTTCTGGGATTTCCTCCAAACTGTGACCAGCTATAGACATTAGTGTAGTCTGTCACCTGATTGTTTTATCCATTTTACCCCAGTTAACCAACCAAAAAAACTGAACTGCCCTATCTGTCTAGCTATGCCAGTGTGTAAGGGCTTTCTGTCTACCCTGCCCCCACCAGACTGTAATGAACTGCCAGCATCCACTCACAGGTGTTTCCTGTTGCCGTTTCTTTTGTTCAGCATGACCTCCCCAGCAGGTGGTGAGGGACCAGCCCCCCCCCCCCAAAAAAAAAAAAAAAAAAAAAAAAAACCCTTCATAGCAGTTCTAAAGTACTGGGTAAGGCTACTGAGGGATCTGGGTCACTCCGCCTCTACCCCTTCTAGGCAACTACTGACACCTAATTGTCTCTTCTGAAGTGCTCCCCATGACAACTTTGAGCACACAATGTCACACTGCTGCGCTACTGCCACACCAGAGTGGACCCAAGCTGGGGAGGCCTCCTGGAAGTTTTTGGATAGTATTTGGATAATAGAAATTCTGGTAAGAGAATGGAGAGTCCATTTCTCTAGCCATGGGAGTGGAACTCCCTCATAACCTCTAGCAAAGTCCTGCCATCCTAAAGTCCAAACCCAGCCTCAAATTCCTCCCAAAGCTCTCCTAATCAAACTACTGTGCTGGAGGCAGGGAAGCCGTCTCTTGGGAGTCCTATTTCCTCAGTACAGGTCTGCTGGTTGTGTGGGGCCAAGGAGTTCACAGGTTTGTTATTACAGGGAAGGAGGTGCCTCAGGGAGGGAAGGACCTTGCTGTCTTGGTTCACAGGGCAGCCATCCGGGTCTCCCATCTCCCAGGCTCAAGCCCCTCCCCTCAGCAAGGATCTTCCCCTTCTTCCCACAACCTAAAGTTGCTCCTTGAGCATCACTGTAGAAAACTGCCTGGTCAGACTGACGTGGTTCTGCTGCCCCCTGGTGGCAACAGCTCAGGTATTCCATGCTGGCTTTTCTTGCTCACTCTCTTTGCCCTCCAGCCACAACAGGACTAGAATTAAGCAATTGGGGCCTTCTCTAGGCCAGCTGAACAGTTTAGATCCACAGAGGGGCTGTAGTTCCCAGGCTCAGCTGCAGGCTCAGCCTGTTCAGCAATACTCCCTTCCCTTCTGTGCCTCTTCTCCAAGCCCAGCCCTTGAACTCTGGGCTTTCTTCCACCAGGATTTCCAGGCCAAACGCACATGATGTTGTCACAGCTGGCCTGTGGGCACAACAGTGCTAGGAAGGTGTCAGAGGAGAGGTTTGGCTGTGCACCGAGCCATGTAGGAAACACATTTTGCCTTTTATTTTCTGTAAAACTCTGTAAATAAAATACAAAAACCAAGGGATGTGGAGAGGCAGAGCAAGATGGCCAGGCCCCTGACACTATCTGTGGCGAAGGATATGCAGAACCAAGGCTGGGAGGCATTTCATTTCAGTCTCTCTACCAACCCCAGGGGTAACAGAAGAATATATTAGATTTTCATTGATAGGAGCTTATGGGGAGGTGACTGGAACCAGCCCTCACCCTCCCGGCAGTGCCTGGTGAGCCCTGAAAACGGAGGAAGGAGCACTGGGAACCGATGATTGGAGAGTTCAGAATGCTGTGCTGGCCATGCTACTGGGCCCAAAGATGCGGGGCAGAGCATCCAGAGACTCCTCTAGCCGTCGATGAGCGGACTGTCCTTCTTCCCCTATAACGAGCAAAGAGAAGGTCAACAGTGGCCCTGGCATCTTCCAGGCCTTCCCCTCCCTGGCATTACCTCATCCTACTCCCAACAGCCAAGGTATCCCCAAGTCCCCTTAATTCATATCTCCCACTTCCCAGCCTCACCACACTGCTGTAGGCTCTGTCGGGCAGCTTCCCTCACAGCTTCTGTGTCTGTTTGGCACAAGTACACCAGGGGCTCAATGCCCTCAGGAGCCTATCAGGGAACAAAATACATGTTCAGTGTAACAGGTAAGAATAGTCCTGGAGTGCAAGTGTTAGGTATGTTGGCAGGGAATCACCTTGATACAGCCCAAAGCCAGACATCCAGCCACTCGGGTCTGCACATCCTCATCCTCAAGCTGGTTCAGGAAGCACAAAAGAGCCTGGACAAGGGGGAGATGTTAGACTTAGACCCTGGGAGCCCTCAACCTTAACCTTACCTACAAGAGAATCCTGCAAAACTCACCCTTTCCCGGAAGATGGGACCAAGTGACAGGCTCCGAAGCTGAGTGCTGACGGCAGCCATGACTTTGTTGTTGCCATGGACCAGCAGGGAGCTAAGAGCCCGAAGCCCATCCCTTCGAAGGCGTCCCTCTGGTGCCAACCTCAGAGCTTTCAGCACAACAGCCTGGTCATCGGAGTTCAGATTCTGTACCAGCAACACTAAAAGAAATGGCGTTGGGGGGTGGGGAGTGGCATGCTTTGTTCTCATGATCTCATCATTCATACCCTCAGAACCACCCACAGGGCCAGCATTCTGTGGCTAGGACCACTGCCTCACCCTCCTCTGCAGTCTCTGTCACGTAGGCATCCATGGAGGGGCTATCCAAGGCTTCTACGTAACTCCAGAACTGGAAGATGGTGAACTGCTCCCCAGGGCCCGGTTGGGGCCTCCTGGGCAGCTTCTGCCCCAGGGCGTCTTCCAGGAACTTCACACACACTGCAGAAGATGGTACCACAGCCTGAGTTGGGAGAGACCCAGGCCTCTAAGGGGAAGAGAATGCACCCTTTCTAGCTCATGCCCAGGGACTCCTTGTCCATACTCTCCTCTGAGGGCAAGCCTTTACTAGTTTTCTTCAATGCTCAACTTGTCAGTCAGTATGGGCAGAAGAGGACTTCCCTAAGGGAACCGAGAAAGGGAGGAAGGGGCAGTTAGGCAGCCCACTCACCAGCCTTGGCTAAGCCTGGCTGGCGCAGGGAAAGACGGGCACCAAACTGGCTGCAGAAAGTGAGGAGCACCTGCTCCACAGGACAGATGAAAGGGCTGAGTCCCTCTGTACACTGGTCCCAAAAGGTCAAGAAGCCAGGCCGAGAGGCGGAGAACTGCACCACTGTGAGGGGTGAGGAAAACCATCAGCAACAGGGCCAGTCAGACAGGAGGCATGCAGACAGGAATAGGTTAGGCACGAACTCTAGGTGGACACCGAAGCCCAAGCCCGTGAGGCCTTACCTTCCTGGGCAGATGTGGCAGAATCCCCCCACAGCTTGCTGCGCTCACACACTACCTCGAGCACGCGTGCCTCCCTCAGCAGCCGCTCCAGAGCCCATGCCTCCTGGCAGCGCAGGGGCCCGAATGTGCCCAGTTTCTAGAGGATAGGGGTTACCAAGTAATTTAGACCTCTTGGTAAGGGTTGGGAAGGATGCGATTAGGGGAGTACACGTCCCAGCATGCATTGGGAGGCAGAAGTAGGAGTACAGGAGGTATTACATTCAGTAGGCACCAAATGCCAGGAACCTGGGGCACTGGAATGCGGAACTGATAGGTTTAGAGGGCCAGGATTGGAATGCACGGCTTCTTGAGGTTGAGGGGCAGAGGAAAGGGGGTCGGTATTTTCCCCTCACCAGCAGGAGGCGGCTGCAGTGGTACAGGTGCTGGACCAAAGTGGCATCCAGGGCTGGACACCCTGTGCTTAGAGACTGGGCATTTGATGAATCTAGTCTGTCCTCTGTCACAACCTCTGGGCTGCTTGTGGGCCTGAGAAAAAAATGCAATCAACCACCCCAAGAGCACACACCACCTTCTGGTCACCAGAGTTTATTTTTATTAAACTCCTCCCACCCAGAATGGAAGAACAATGTACAGACACAGACAATAGGTAAGTTCACAGAGGACTCGCAGGAGGGTGAGGCTGCAACCAGCAATGAGTCAGTCTACCTTTTGCTACCCCTGCTAGCACCAAAGGGGCTGCTGGGCCCTGATGGGCGCCAGTAGGATCGCAGGCGGGATGGTCTATAAAATGTGGACTGCAAGGGACACTGGGTTTGGGACTGGAACCTAGGAAGTCGTAAAGGGAGGAGGAGGGACCGGGTACGGCTCTCAAATCTGAATCGGTGAAGTCTACTTGAGGAATTAGAGCTGGGCCTCCGGGAGAGTCGGGGTCGAGATGGAAGGGGCTGGTGATGGGAGACACAGGGTACATGGAGAGGCACTGAGAGAGTTCCTTCAC